GTCGTCGTAGTCGTCGTCGTAGTCGTAGTCGTAGTCCTAGTCGTAGCCGTAGTCGTAGTCGTAGTCGTAGTCGTAGTCGTAGTCGTCGTTGTAGTAGTAGTGGCAGTGGCAGTGGCAGTGGTCGCAGGAATGCTCGTAGTAGTAATAGTGATCCGCCGCGACCGCAGCAGCTGTAGTAAGCATTCGTGGCAGGAGCTTTTGTCAGAGGCATACTTGCAGTCACCCCAATTCTCAACATTATCAGAAGTACGATAGCACAATGATGCGTTATCATGATATGGATTCACTAGACGTGGTGATTTCTGGAGTAGCTTGCCTATGTTAGCCTTTGGGTAGCCTGGCTTCGAGCGCATGAACATTGTATGGGATGGATTTGCCAAAGCATTCTCAATGGTTGCAGCATCGGAACTCAGCTTTATGTGCTTTGCGAGTCTCTCCAGAGGTGTGGCTAAGCTTTTGGAAGCTTACGGGGATGGTAAGAAGACACGGCAAGGTGCTTGCAGGAAGTTGCTGCGAATTCATCGTCTGCTCGATGCCAACTACAGCTTTGATGTCATCTTGCCAGAGGAAACGAGAGTAGTTGGCACGAGCAGACACCCCGAATAGGCAACTTTCGGCGGACAGCGCTGATTGCAAGTTGCCGGAGACTTTTAGTGTGCATCAAGCAGAGCAGGCAAACATTCAAGTAAACTGGGGTGGATGGTGTCAGGGGTGGATGGTGTCAAACCAGGGAACATCCTCCCAGACATATGGGATCTTGCGACTGCCATCCCAAGTTGATTCAGACATGAGATGATTACAGGTGATGCATCCGATGTGTTAGTGCCTCATGTTCATAGCGGATCGGCAGCATCTGCAGAATCACAATGCCAGTCGCATTGTCATGACGACGATGCTTGAGTGTTTGCGTTCAATGTGTTTGCGTCACTTGTCCACGTGACGATGTTCGAGCCTGGTCGAGCAGTTCAGCAAGCAATCTGCAAAGCAACACTGCGGCGGCCACGTTTCTATCCAGCTGACACCAAGATAATTCTTCGTAACCTTCAGGCGGCCTTTCTTCTCAGATAACCACATGTTCATAATTTTGCAGGGAACCGCCCCTGGACCGGAGGCCCCAAACCAGAACCGAAATCCCGAGACCAACTTTCTATTCGCCCAGCCCAGGTGATCATGACGGATAGATGTTAATTACTAGCAGAGCCATGGTCCGTTCCGAATCAGCTTTAGCTGTAGTGTACCGAATGTATCAGGGACCACAAAGCGGCCATGACTTTGAGGCAACTCCGCTGTATGAAAAGTCAGGAGAAGAGCTGTGTCTCTACTTGCCTTGGCTTCGGCATGGCGTGCAGCTGCTAGGAACATGCCGGCTCAAATCGAGACACCCTAAGCCCAGCTGATAGTGTATGTGGGGCGGAGCGCAGCTAGCCTCACTCAGACCGGAACATGGCCGATCCTGACCTTGTATTAACAAGCCTCAAAGAAAATGTACGAGCTATGCTAATTCCTCGCCGTTCGCATGGCGCTGGGACAGCTTGGAAAGGTGGTGCCTTGGCGCCACAAAGTTTAACTCCAGGTATAGAGCTATTGTATAGCCTTCGTGCTCTGTTTTGTAAATGTACGTAGTTTCGCTGCGGCAGTCGTCGAACCAGGCGTAGCGGCAGTCGTAGTAGTCGCAGTAGTCCTAGTGTCGTCGTAGTGTGGTAGTGGTAGTAGCCGCAGTAGCGGTAGTTAGTAGCAGTAGTGAGGCCCTGGCACAAGCAAAGAGCCGAGGAGCTCTTCCCTTTTGCTGGAGACGAAGCCCGCGGCACTGTCGTCTCGACCGGCAGGCTCATCATGGGGATAGTCGTGGGTCAGTTGAGGATGCCGAAGATGGTTGGGATGCCTTGTTTTTCTCTGATTTTTGTGGCATGTGTGATATTTTTGTGTGGACCATGCGGCCAAATCCCCCCAAAGTCCATCTCCGCTCAACGGACTCAAGGTCTACACTCTATACTTTGCAATCTCGGCCTTCCTGGTTTGAGGATAAGTGGAAAGGTATAGGGGCTTGGCAGAAGGTTCTTCGTGTGCAGAGACAGAGGCGCTCTGGTGCTTCCCACAACTTCGGGCGCCCGGTCACTGTGGAAGAACACGGAAGAACTGTTGAATACTGTGCAGCCCGAACTTGATGACATGCACGCCATGCTAGATGGAGAGATGCTCGTCCAGAAGGCACTATAGTCTATAGGGGCAAGGTGACAGGCATGAGGTTCAAGATTTGTAAGATCGATGCTGTGTCGATGCGGTTGGCAGGATCAAGGGCAAGGACTGGACATCGCCGGGTGAGTGGCCGGACCCTCGCATGATCCTGCTGCGACTGCTGCACTTGATGTGATTTCTTTCTTATCCCAAGCCGATGTCTGCAAGCTGTAGCTATGTCACCGCCACGAGTGAGTGTCAGGTTTTTGGACAAGCTCTGCTGAGCAGTTTCCAAACTGTCGGCTCAGTCACTAAAGCTGAAGTGACAACTTTGCCACACAAGCCGGGCCAAGCAGAATGGCCGTTGCAGCTCCGAGCACTTGCTGTCAGAGCTTAAGAAGCATATCGATCCATGTTGCATGAGCGGTTAGATAGAGCAGAACTCCCAAACTTAACATGGTCTAGTCCGGGTGCGCAGTTCAGCCCAGTGTTTCGACATCTGTTCCCAAGCACCTGCGTGGCTGACATGGCCCTGAGATGGGTCGACGCTCCGCATGCAGCTGCCCCGCGCTGCAGACATCTCCGTCTGCTTCTCCTGTGCCAAGGGCTGGGATGGCTACCCGTTGACGCAGCCACTAAAGGGAGGCGCGACTGGGCGCTGGGGTCCTGGCAACGCTTTCCTTCTCCGTGAAATTGAATGCTCGCAGGCATCGGCTTTCGCTGCTTCTGCTGTGATAAGCACTGCTATGGCGTGCGCTATCAGCTTGCAGAGGACGGCCGTCTGTCGATCATTTGCCTGCTCAGAGGCTCAGCCTTTACCCTCGATTGCATCTTGTTGCCCGCTGCATTTGGAGGACTCTGGCCCTTCTGAAGGCGGATTTTCGCGGCAAGCATCCCAGACACTTGACTTCAATCCTGCACGGCTTCGCGGCGGCTGTGCACGCTAAGAGGATCTCCAGAGCGGAGCCCTGAAGTCTACTTCTGTAAGGCTTGCGGAAGCCGAGACCTGCTCCACCAGGGCTACAACATGGGTTCCGGAAGAGGCGCAGCGGAGCATGGGGCGATACGAAGCAAGAGTCAGAGCCGAAGCCCGAAAGCCCTAGTCCATGAGACGCAGGGTGTCAATCTCCAAACCCCAAAACGCTGAAAACCCAAAAGGCATAGCTCCGCAACTTTGGAACCCCAAGACACAAAGCACCCGAAACTCCAACTCTGACAGGTCAGACCCGAAGACACATCAGGCATCCCGTGTTTGGGTGCGTGGTTGGCTGTACTGCAGCTGGACAGCTTCCTCGACAAGGCTGGGAAGAAATTTGGGCGCTTTTGCACGAAAGCCAGGTCCCGAATGAGTCCCGAAGCGCCGCATAGAATGACAAACACCCCCCCTGTTAATACCGAGAGGGTTGCCGTTTGCAGCATTGGCGGATGCTGTTTTTGCGCCCCACACCTTCAACATAAAGGTTTGTGTACAACAGTGCTGCGTCACATTATCAAGGCCATCATATCTGTGCGTCACGTCTATGCCAGGAAACGCCCTTTCAACGCTTTCGGTAAACAGAAAGAAGGATGCGTAGGCTTTTAATAATGGTACCAGTGGTCCTGATGGTGGCAGTCATGCGTGTTGGTGCTGAGGACGGCGCCGAGCATTCTGATGACAGTGGTGGTCATGTATGATTGTTGTGGCAAAAAATGTAAGAATGGCACGGGTGGAGAGAACGACAAGATCTAGCAAAAGGGAGAAAAGGGCCAAGACTACAATCTGTGTGCGGTGATGCAAGGATTCTTCGAGCATACTGAGTATACATAGGGGAATGAATCACCAGAAAATACACCAGCGCACTTGCCACGAGACAACTGATGCTCCGAACAGGAACCCGACACCACAGACGGTAGCACCCCCAAACCCTTAAGGCCCGAAGCCCTTAACCGTGCAAGCTCTAACACCCCCAGCTTGAAACCCAAACCCTAAACCCTAAACTCTTGAAACTTGCCGAAGGCCAAAGACTGGTGCGAGGAGATGGGTGCTGCAGAGCTGGATGAGATCCGGGAGAACTGGGAGGCGGGCTTGGGGTTCAGGCGTTTAGGGTTCGGGTTTAGGGTCTTAGGGTTTGGGGTTGGGGTCTTACGGTTTCTAGGGGTTGAGGGTTCAGTGGTGTAGGGGTTTGGGTTAGGGTTTCGAGTCTAAGGCCGAGGGCATCTCGTCAGCACTCAACCATAGATGGGGTTTCTTGCAGGCACGCGTAGCCCCGAAGCACCGACAGCTTGAAAGACACTGCATAAGAAGTTTCAGCCGAAAATCCCTAATCCCTAAACCCGAAACCCGCCTTGAGTCCTCCGGGTTTCACAACCATAGACCTGGGAGGCTTGAAGCACACAGACACCCCAAATCTTCCACAGTCAAAGCTGGCGAATGGCTAAAACTTGCGAGGGCCGTCTGTACTACGGTTGAGGATATAAACCCTGCGCTACCCATAATAGGGAATTTACCATAATTCCCATAGTTTAGGGCCCTTAAGGTCATGCAGGATTTATATCATCAACAGTACCAGTCTGCCCACTTTCATGCTTCAGCACGCATGTCGAAGTCCAACTCAGATCCGTCTGAGACCTTCTCACACATGAAGCCTCAAACCCGAAACCAACCGCTACACCCTGAACTCTAAATCCTAAATCCTTAACCCTAAGCTTAAACCGCCAAACCCCAACCCTAAACCCTAAACCCTAAACCCTAAACCCTAAACCCTAAACCCTAAACCCTAAACCCTAAACCCTAAAGCAAAGAGGACTTCGCCTCGTACCTGGACCTCTCGGAAGAGGAGCGGCAGCGTCTTGCTGAAGCTTTCCGGCCGGAAAATCTGTGGGACTATGATGGGTTTAGGGATTTATGTTGGGATTTTAGGGTTTAGGGATTTATGTTGGGATTTTAGGGTTTAGGGATTTATGTTGGGATTTTAGGGTTTAGGGATTTATGTTGGGATTTTAGGGTTTACTGTAGGGATTTATGTTGGGATTTTAGGGTTTAGGGATTTATGTTGGGATTTTAGGGTTTAGGGCTTTATGTTGGGATTTTAGGGTAATCGCCGTTAAGGGTTTGAGGCTGACGGTTTGGAGTGATTGTGCTTCAAGATCTGGGTGTGAGGTTAGGACTTGGTGTTAGCTTTGGCTTGTTGCGGCTCGTAATGAAACCTGTCTGCTCATACTAACATTGACAAGCGTCCAGCATTAGAAAGACTAGGAGTATCAGAAGACCAGTAGTATCAAGCCGTACTCGTAGTTCGTAGTTATAGTCGGGATAACAGTAGAGGTCATCGTATGGCGATGATTGGAGTAGAGGCACTGGCGATTCCAAGCACTCGATAAGGAAGATGCCTTAAACACTCTTGGAGTCTCGTTCTTCATTCGCAGGACAGTCCTTCGTTCAGGTGTCTTGGGTTAGATTTGTCAGTTCTCTCCCACACCCTACACCCTAAACTCCCCAACATGGAGTTTGCCCCGAAACTTGAAGTTCTGGCCCCCAGGGTTGTAGTCCCTAAACCCTAATCCCTAAACCCTAAACCCTAAACCCAGGGACCTCTGGCCCCCAGGGTTGTAGTTTGGCATCACGGGCCGCCCACATTTTGGGAGCCCTGGGCTTCAGAAGTTCCCCCTCGTCAAAGGCCTGTGCGCCGCAGCCAGAAACTCCTCTGTCGCCCTTGCCGGCAATTCGGCGGCATCTGGGGCGGTTTAGGGTTTAGGGTTTGTTGGGTTTTTTAGCTTCCGAGTTCAGATAGCTGCGACTGTCACGAAGCACCTGTGCCCTCTTTGGAGGGACAGCGGAGCCTTCGAAACATGTTGTAGGCCTCGCGCAGGATGTGTGCGTGAACACAGCGGTAGCAGGCCCAGGGTTGCCATCTCGGTGAAAGTCTTTGGAAACGGTGGCCATGTCTGCGAACGCAAAGGAGAAACCCCGTCCTTCCACATTTCGCCTGAAGCACTCCAGGTTTAAAGAAACTCCAAGGGCTAGACTCCTTCGCCAGCCACCCTAAACCCTAAACTCCTAAACCCCAAACCCTAAAAACCTGAACTCGAGAAGCCGCAGAAACCTTCCGAGGCCACGAAGAGCAGAGAGTCTTTCGGCCCGGATGACGCTCCCTACGCTGTGCTTGAGAAGCTCGGCCAGGCGAGGCCATGGCAGACTTCGGATACGGCTCATGATATAAACCCTGCATTTTTAACTTAAGGACCCTAAGCTATGGGAATTATGGTAGATTCCTTATTATGGGTAGTGCAGGATTTATATCATCAAGCGTCTTACTGACGGCCCTTGTTTAACGTAACACAGGATGTGACCCTGGAGCCCTTTAAGTTCAGAAGCATCATGGTGTAGGTCTTCGATTTCAGGGGTTTCTGGGTGTTTGGCAACTTAGACTTCGACGTTTCAAAGGCTGCGTGGCGGTGGAAGGTAAGGAGGACTTCCCAAAAAAAGGCTCGGATTCGTCGGGGGTTCTTGGAGGCATGAACAAGGCATTGAGCCGGGCCGGAGGGGGGGAGACTACCGCGATGCTGCCTGCTCGGCCGAAACATGAAACTCCCAAGACTCCAAGACCCCGTGCCAGAAGCGGTTTCGCTCCCCCGGAGTTTGTTGAGTGTTGGATACTCCCCTTGCTGTCTTTGATAGCATCAGAGTCGCACCTAAGAGTCGCAAGAGGCCTGGATTTCCTGAGTGCCTTGCAGGGTGCTACAGCCACCGTCTATCGTTGCAAGCGCGGGCAGGAGGAGTATGCCCCTCGGCTTCGCAGCAAGTACCCTCAACTCTGTACCCCAAACCATGAACCCTATACCCTAAGCCCCATGCCCCAAACCCTATACCGTATACCCAGAACCCTATACCCTAAACCCTAAGCCCAGGACTCCATACCCTAAACGCTAAACTCCGCTAAACCCTAAAGAGTAAACTAAAACCCCACTGCCAAGCTCGAGGCTGTCAAGGTCATCGACTTGCATCGTTTCTGCCTGCATCCGGAGTTCCAGAAGTTCCGCCAGCACATTCGACGTGAGATGTCCCTCCTGCTCATGCTGCAACACAGGCCCCAATGACTTGTGAAACCTCATGTCAGGACCAGAACTGGCTTATGCATGGATCTGTTTTTGCTGTTCCCGCCCGCACTCACTAAGACAGACACTATAGTGCGGCATCCTTCTCTTCTCCCCGCCTGGAAGTCCGGTTCCAGCCCATCAGGAATATCGTGAAGCTCATCGATGTCTTCGAGCCGCCAGTCTTCAGCGCTAGGGAGGCTCCTGTGATCTCAGATATGACCCTGGCAAAGGCACCCAAACCGTTGCGAAGTACGGTTCTTCTCCGCGGTGATTGCTCTTTCTTGGGTGCTTCTTCGGATCTGGGTCCCAAATGCAAAGATACCCAGGTCCAAAGACACCTTCTTCCTGGTGATGGAGCTCGTAAGGGGCGGCGATTTGAGCGAGTACCTGCTGAAGAAACCCCATGGGCACCTCGATGACAAGGAGGCCTGCCACGTCTTCTTGCAGATTGTGGAGGGGCTGATGCTCAGCTGAAATCTGGGCATTTCAGGAGAAGAGGGACCCTAACAACGTCGGCCCCAAGCAGCGGGACCTTTAACTCACTAAAAGGATGCCTTAGTAAGGTAAGCAAAATTTCAAGGAAACTCCTCTCCCTACTCTCTAGACCCATGCGATGGACCCCCAAGCAGAAGTGCCGGCTTCATTGCGACCCCTAAACCCTAAATCCTGAACCCTCAACCCTGAACCCTAAACCCCAAGCTCTGTAAACCCTAAACTCCAGGCCCTGGGTCCTAGGCCCCCGAAGACTGCACCCCAAACCTGAAGGTGGTCGGCCCGAAGCCTGGAAACCCACAATCCAAATCGGATTGACCATGCACATCAATCTGGTTATCTACTGCAATATACTACAGCGTACCATGGTGTATTTTTAATACACTATAACATTCTAAAGTCTACCGTAATATACGATAGTATTTGTCTGCAATATACTATAGTATACTATAATGTGCCACAGAGTAGCCGAGGAGCCACATCCACTCCAAGAACGTGGTTCATCGGGACCTCAAGCCACAGAACCTTGGACAGAAAGACGGTGATGAAGCGGAGTGGCTGTGGAACTACATTATGTTACATTCTACTTCAGAATATTACAGTGTATTATAAGCTGCGTGGCATCCGTCCATTGGCCAAAATCTGAATCTTTTTTCTAATGTCTTTGTCATAAAATATGTCCACGCGAAGTGATGTCCTAAACTTTATCAACCAGCTGTGCACTCCTTGTCGAAGGAACATCCTCCTCGTCGACCCTGTGCCGGCAACCTCATCCAACTTGAAGGGGACGGTCCCACAGGTCGCGTCTCTGGGCAGAGCTTTCATGGAAACACAGAAATAGACGTAGTCGTGGTGGTGCTAGGTCGTCGTGGTCGGTGCTGGTGGTGGTGGTAGTAGTAGTAGTAGTAGTAGTAGAAGAAGCAGCAGTAGAAGCAGCAGCAGCAGGAGCAGGAAGGAGCAGGCGCAGGAAGGAGCAGGAGCAGGAGCAGGAGCAAGCACAGTAGCAGGAGCGGC